CATGTTTAATTCATTTTACAAATCCTTTTTTGTTTTTTTTTAACGAACAAGAAGTCTAGAAGTCTACGTTAACAATCTGCAGTTTCCGCGTCCTAAAAGCGGATATGGCGTATATATGTATATAACACTTTCAATTCATTCTAGCTATTCATTCGTTTAATTTCTCAGCGTAAATATAAATGTAATATGTACTAACGGACGCGATTTTCAAAAACAAACATTGTAAGATGCATACCGATGTAAGAAAGAGTGATGACGAATGAAAACACGGTTCTTTTTCCGGAAGTCCCATTTACCGTAAAAAAGTGAATTGGGTCAGCGATTGGTAAGTTGATTTGTGTCAATAATAACAGCCCATATTTGTGCAAAGCATTTTAAGGACAGTTGATTTTCACACCAACCTTTCATGATGGAATCCATTTGGGGTACAGATGAACTGAATTTATTTAAGACATCAGTGCCCACCATATTCCCAGAGACGTGAATACAAGAAGAAACCCAGTCCGTCACCAGCGAAGCTTTGTGTTGTTTACGAGAAGAGAGACAGAAAAAGCATAAGTACAAGACACCAAATACAGATCCTTATACAGTACATTGAATGCAAATGTAAACTAATAATGTGAAGAAAAAGAAAAATAGTAACGAGTTTTGAATTTGTGAGTATAAGCCCTGATGATATTAAATGTGTATTTTTAAATCCAAGCTCAAATCAAAACGAGTTTTTAAACGTAGAGATGAGGCAAATTTGAAATATGTACGTCCTCAAAATGTGCATTTATATATATATATATATATATATATATATATATATATATATATATATATATATATATATATATATATATATATATATATATATATATATATATAACCACTTTGATTATCCGACAACGTAGTTGGCAGCATGGCCTCATCGTCATAGTGGGTGGGTTGGAAATTATGGTACACCTTATTTGCTAAAGACAGAATTACTTTCTCCTCTTCTAGCTGCTAACAATTCTAGCTGCCTTTCATTATCTCTCTGTTTATTTCTCATCGACTTCCATGATCAATAATCAATAATCAAACATTTCTAATTATTTCCTTCTTTCCTCTGATTCCACTTCTAATTCCCTCCAATGTTTCCCTTTCTGATTCTCTATTAATTCTCGGTCAGTATACCATCCTATGTGAGATTTGTTTGGTCTGTCTCTTTTAGATAGTGATTATCGGTTAGATGTATGATTCTATATATTGATTTAAGGGGCAAAAGTTTGTTCTTTCGAATGTTTTCATTATGGTGTGGCTTTATGTATTTTTTTTTTTGCCACAGTGTACAGTATATAACAAGGCACTGATATTCGCATGTATGCAAAGTCATTGATCTATTGCTGTTAACATAAAATTCTCTCAAAAGAACTTCTCCTTGAGTTATCCTACAGATATTGTAGATTAACGTATGATTTAATAAGATTTGGATACTGAAAAATTCAGTACTGAAAGGCAAATGTATGGATCATATAAAAAAAAATAAGTGTGATCTCAGTCCATTAGTATCTTGCACGGAATCATATAGCTTCCATTTCGTCTGTAAACGCATTGTCACATCTCAATCTAAAGTGTATCATTAGAAGGAAATGAATGATTTACAAGCGAATATGCAAATAATGTCTCTGAGTCATTGTACGTTTATTTGAAGCCATATGCCATGATAAAATTCTCAACCGATTTTTCTTGTTTCTAATCATACAAACGCCGTCATTTCTGGGTTGTCCATTCATATTAAGTAGTGTTCAAACAATACGATCGGACAAATTATGTTGTATACAGATAGATTGATTAGAGTAATTATAGAATGTGAAATCCATTGTTGTAATTCGGTATGATATGCACATTTATTTAACAGCAAACGTAATGCATGCACACTACACGTATCAATTCTGAAATGGCATTTTACCTCCTTTACACAACAATACGTGCTACATGTAAGATAATAACGGTTGTCCAGAATGTCAGTAACCTATCTTGTCTGTGCTGCAGTTAATTCCAATTATTTGTCCTCTAATAATTATTATTAACAGGAATCCTAGTAGAAGTCCACTTACAAATATTAATTCTGAAATTTAAAAAAAAAATACAAAAGCAAATATTGGGATGATCTGGATACAGCTCGAGGAACCGATGCAGTTTAATATCGAAGATCCTGGAAAATGAACAGACATCCTACACTAAGATAGCATGCTATGATCCCTTCAGTGGCAAAGGTGACCAATCCACCTAGGTCCCACAGGTCGGTCAAGATTTGATAGATAATTTTGGAACTGATTAACAAGTAATTGGTAGAGTGTTGACAAGTATAAAATGGAAAAACTATCCTTAAAATTATCTTAAACATATTTAAACTCTACTAATTGAACAGTTAACGTTGATGTTGTCCCTACCACTGTGTGGTTATTGATAGTCCAATAAATGAACGGCGCAAATCTGTGTTGATGCTATAGACGATATGTGGTTTTGATGTCACCCGTTTATTAAAATGTGCAATTTTGATGCATGCAATTTTTTTTTCCGGAACAAGCATGCGTATACATTAGACACATACAGATATTTGGTAACAACCATATCTAGCGCGAAATTCAAAATGACCACAAGACAAGTGGTTGTAAATGAATCTCATACCCTCTTCATAAACTATCTGGCAAGTCGAATGAAGTGATTCTAAAAAAATTGTATGAAACACGTAAGACTGCTTAGTATGCACGTTATCATTTAAATTGGCAACATCCAGCAACAGAAACACTGAAAACGTCAGATGCACACAGGGCTGAGCTACTACAAGGGCCAGTACGACCATATTAACGAACTGGAATCAGGACACAATTAATAATTTCCACGAATGTAGTCCAAGGCTATTTTTTAGATCATTCTTTCCTCTGTCTCCGTTTGGTGGTGATACAAGAGTTAGGTTTAGGGATTCCTGGTAAGGATTTAAAGGCAATTGTTTATTGTTTAGAAGGCGAGCTTATGGTGTGGTTGTCTGTGTATTTTGTGTGACAGTGCACAGTGAGTAATAAGGAGATGGTGATGATCTGGAAGTGAAATACGAGTTCCTTTGCATGGTGTTTTGTTTACAATTAAGCCTCTCAAAAAATGCACGTCAACCCTTGACAAAAAATTCACCGTAAAGTCATCTTTAAAGGTACTTTAGATTAGCATATGATTTGCATTGATTGCCACACAGTGGAAAGTTCAGTACTGAGAAACAAATGTAGATAATATATAGTAAATATAATTGTGTTCTATGGCCAACTAGGCGGCTGTCATAGGCGTTAGGATTTATTGGATGCCAATTAGAACCCTGACCGTCTCCATTACGCTTCTCTACATGGTTGAAATATACATAAATACGTGAGGTTAACTCTTTCAAATATGGAAACGCTAGGCGGCTATACACTTCCTTTCCCGAATAGTTACACATAGGGATTAAAATATGACAAAACAGGTTTATTTCTTGTTCCTCTTTTTTTTCTCTCTGTGTGTGTGTGTGTGTGTGTGTGTGTGTGTGTGTGTGTGTGTGTGTGTGTTGTAACGAAGACTATTCTTAGTTAAAATTTCTACATTTACATATAAAATGCAATTATATCTATATTACTACTCTGTTCACAGGTTAAATCTTTAGACAAGTGAAGCAGGTAATGTTTCTCTAACAGAAATCTTATGTTATTCGGACATTCTTGGTCAATTTGCTGTTTAGCTAACAGAGTTACGCGTTTATTCACCACGGTAGTCAAGAAAGATAGCTTAACTTTTTTCTCAGATTTTAAACAAAGCAGAATAAAACTTTCAGGTTACACTTCCCAGAGATAATACAATTATTTAAAACCATATTACATATTGTACTCTTCCAGCATCTGTTTATCATTTGGACTGCAGTTAATCAAATAATCACTAAATTGATAACTTGTATCATTTTAAACGAAGCGGTTAATTTTGCTCTCAAATGCAAGTTTACCACAATGAAGTTGTATATTTTCGACTATCATTGCAATCGGTTTTGGGAATAAATGAAAATCGTACTATATAAATCATCGATTAATAATCGATTAAGTATTGCAAGTGATGTTTTGCCGAAACCAGTTATTTACTAGAGTGGAAAAGAAAATGACAATAAAAGCCGATTCCCAGAAGTACAAAGGCTTATATTGTATAATAAACCCTGCGTTACCTCCCTTACACTACATACATACTGATACACAATGTTTAACAGGTAGGTAGGTAAGTGTTCACAAGAACATATAATTCCTATCTTGCATTTGTTGCAGCTAAATCTAGTTAATCTGATAAATGTTATTATTTATAACCAATACATTATTTATAATGTTGGAATGGATGTTTTACTACAGTAGAGTCCTATATTCTCAACTGTCATTTCAATCAGTACTAGGAATAGGTTTAATATAACCGATGGATACATCGATTAATAATTAATTAGTGTTTGCAAACGAGGTTTGATAAAAACAACCATTTTCTTGAGTCGAACAGATGATGACAACAAAGTCTACTCACATACTTGTTTGCTCTACTTTTAAAGTTTCAATGCAACAATAAGAAATTTGCAAGCTTCCCAATAAACTGAGAATGATCCCTAATATTTCACAGAACTTATTTCGACCACAATCGATCTTTTAATTGTAATCGATTTATTAGCCATTATATTGAATGTTACCAATTCTCAATAGACTCGACTAATCGGATATATTATTTGTTCACAGTCTTGACTCTTGCATGCTGAAACTTTGGATCCAGGTTGCACTCTACATGAAAATACAGTCTGAGTATTCGAAGTAAGAAAAGAGACTTCCGTAATCGTGTGTGTGTTTCTGTGTAAATGTTGTATTAAAAATAGTGTGTTAATTATCGCATCATATTCCCCACACTCTCTTACTCGTCTTCTCGTAAGTGAGGGTTTTTGTCTGTTAGAACGTGTGTTTGCCATTATGTCATACAAAACATCTTTTAACCGCTCCTGTGACCTAGTGGTTAGAGTGTCCGCCTCGAATGCGGAAGATCGTGTGTTCGAACCACAGAGGAGTCGAACGATTTTAAAAAATGGTACTAACAACTGCCTCTCTTGGCGCTCAGCATTAAGAGGTTAGTGATAGGACTGGTTGGCCTGGTGTCAGGATAATGTGACTGGGTGTAACATTATGCTATATATCTGTGTAATGATGTCCCAGAGCTAGACATCACTATAAACTGTCATAATTTAGACATCGTAGCCATATGACTAAAAAAAAAATGTTAAAGCTACGTTAAAAATCTAAATCACACGCACATACATCTCTCTCTCTCTCTCTCTCTCTCTCTCTCTCTCTCTCTCTCTCTCTCTCTCTCTCTCTCTCTCTGTCTCTCTCTCTCTCTCTCTCTCTCTCTCTCTCTCTCTCTCTGTCTCTCTCTCTCTCTCTCTCTCTCTCTCTCTCTCTCTCTCTCTCTCTCTCTCTCTCTCTCTCTCTCTTGTTCTGAGTAAACTTATTCCTTTTGAAATTCAAATTATTAGATAATTATCGTAGTTGAAATTGGCGTCATTCAAGAATGCCAACCCCAGTAACTGCTTATATCGCAGTCAGAAGGGAATATCGATAACATCCGTTTACAATAGGTAATCATATGTCAAGCAGTATCAATGATATACCACGAGATGTGTCAATATTTCATTAAAGGCAACGAGGCTTGCCGAGTTTCCCTTTAATGAAAAATTTATACAGTGAATGGAATATCATTTATACAGCGTACATGCTACCAATATATTTTATTTATATTACATACAAATACATATATTTGCATCTGTATATTGACTGAGTGAATGAACTCACATCCCCGACTGTGTCCGCTACAAACTGTAGTTCAACGTCTTTAGTGGCTATTCACAATAACTTTTTCGGTTTGTTAAGTTAATTGTTGTTTTTTTCTGGTTTCTATTTTTCTTATACACACTAATAATTTCAACATAAAAGATGGATTTAATAATAAAAATAGAGCACAATAAACACTAAGTTAGCAACGCCATTCACAAGAATTCTAAGCCATTCACCTACCGGCTCATGGAAATTAATGTGAAATAAAAATTAAGCTAAATGTCCAACCAACAAGAAGTAATTAAAATATGTTAATATAATTGAAGTTGATTTAAGTCATTATTTTGCTTTAGTAAAGGTACCACAGACTATAAACTCTCTCTCTCTCTTTCTCTCTCTCTCTCTCTCTCTCTCTCTCTCTCTCTCTCTCTCTCTCTCTCTCTCTCTCTCTCTCTCTCTCTCTCTCTCTCGCTGGCACATTTTGAATGATCCTTGGATTAACCACATTATCTTATCTTCCTCTGAACTTCAGATATATTTCGTCATTAATAATTATGTACGTATTGTTACAAATATGTAATTAAAACGCTTGTAAGTTAGATTGTAAATTATTTTTATTTTATTTTTGTTTCATTACATTTTATTGTAACATTCGGATTCGATATTATTTTTTAAATTCTGTTCAAATTCTCTCTCTCTCTCTCTCTCTCTCTCTCTCTCTCTCTCTCTCTCTCTCTCTCTCTCTCTCTCTCTCTCTCTCTCTCTCTCTCATCTTTTGGTCGGTTTTACTTATTCACTTAACTTTTGCCACCATTTATAAATCCAGGGTTATCGTGGAATAAAGCAAACTGAAATCCTCTACGTAATGAATTTCATAGATTTTAACCAGTATCTTGTCTTGCTGCGATGAGAGAGAGAGAGAGAGAGAGAGAGAGAGAGAGAGAGAGAGAGAGAGAGAGAGAGAGAGAGAGAGAGAGAGAGAGAGAGAGAGAGAATGTGTGTCACGTAACCGAGGAATTTACTGTATAATGTAGACGTGGTTCGCAGCATTGTATCATTGATAAACACTGTAGATAAATCCCACGGACAGAACACATGTATCGTTACGACAAACCTTATTCGTGTAGGTTATTTAGTAAAATTTCTATTCCAAGGTTATAATATCGCCCAAATTCCTTTTCTTTCTAACTCCATATTTCTGCTGTGTTTGTCCGTTATGCAAGAGAAGGAGGGGGGACAGCAGAAAGCTTTGTGATGAAAATGTGTATTAATTCATTTAGAAAATGACAATTATTAATACTTTGTATGGTTATTTTCATACGTCATTAATGATCAATGTGTGGAAATTAATCATTGATCTATGATCAACAGCAGATGGTTACTAGATTATGTATATATGCGTATTATTGTGCTATGGACTGATCACAATTTGATATACAAATAGTATTGTTATATATCAAATTGCTTTATACCAACACTTTAAATGTTATGTTACTTTTAATGTTCGTGATATATATATATATATATATATATATATATATATATATATATATATATATATATATATATATATATATATATATATATATATATATATATATATATATATATATATGCATGCATTTTCGCCTCCGTTATCTAGAGGCGTAATCTAGTATATTACGCGATCATTAACAATTGATATAAAATGTTTTCAGTCTTTAAAGAGTTTGTGGTAGTGATCGAAAAAGTAAATGATGTAGTATGAGCAACCAAGAAAGAACAGTAACTCTATTAGCCATTCCTTTGAATTTGAACTTACAACTGACATGTATACCTTACTTGTATCGTGTAATATAGTTGCTATATTGCGACTCTCACGATAAAGGGTAAACGATCCACGGTCAATTTATGGAACGTTCAGCTGAGAGTACAACTATCAAGAAAGCTGTACAACAAAACTCACAGTATCTGTTATCGTGTACAGCAACAACACACTTTGTTCGAAATCGGAAATATGTCGCAACACGTGTATTCCAAATTGAATTTAATAGGACTCAGGGGACAGATATTACTTCTGAGTCATTACCCATACATGTAGTCCCAGTCTCATTTAGATCGTTTATTTTTATTCTCTCATTTAGGTAGTGATACATGAGGTAAACTAAGGACAAAACATGGCTAAATTAATATATTTTAAAAAGCATCGCTCAAATAATATTGAACAAAAAAAACGTTAGATACTTGTTATTAATTGCCTTTAAAATCGCTACCTCCATTTCTAAGCGTGGCTGCTATGTAAGTGCGATATTGTCGGATAATGTAAATTCAAAATCAAAATTAGCGATGAAAATAGCTTTCTTTGCCTTAAAGTGTGGGATTGCTGAATTATTATGGCATCTTCGTGTTAGAAAGATATTCCCCACGCCACCCCCACCCCCTTATGTTTTAATTTCTTACGTTGATACTCGATTGCTGTAAAATACTGCATTTTATTGCAACTCCATGGTCTTAAACAGGATGGAGTTAAACTGACAAGTTACGTAAGTCAACAATAAATATCTTGTTCCCAAGAGCACAAATCTGAAATTTAAAATAACCTTAGAGACTTGTGAATTAAATTAAATCTGAAATAATCCATAACGTTCTGCCACAAGTCCAAAAGTGAAGTATGTTCTTGATCAATTCCTAAAATCTTGCATGCACTGATGTATCAATAGTCTTGAATGTGTTGATGTTCCAATAGTCTTGATGTTTCACAATAATGTAATCCAGAATGTCTCTGAAAAAATTTACAATAATCACAAAGAAGTGTTTTAGTCGAAAAAGGTCAATGAGTACCTTGTACTTTTAATGATTAATTTAAATCAATGATTCCCTACAAATGATACCTGAGCACAATATTAAATTATACTACTAAGTTTAAAATAGGAATGAAGATTTTGTTTAAAAAAACGTAAAATTTACTACATCCACTTAACTAAAGCCACAACACAATGATGGTCATATTAGATGCAAAATTTCATCAAATTCATCTACAAATGTATCAATTCAATTTAACTTTTATTAAATCTTTTAACATTAATAATCGTGACAAAAATAAAACAAACAAACTATGATATTAGTCACGTAGACCAAAACTATATTCTTAATCACGGACAAAGTGAAGCACACAATGTAAATTAAATATACATAATAATTTATAAAGACAACTGTACTTCTTTTCAAACGGAAACAAGAACAGGTGGCTAATTATCTCTTATGGTCTTTTTATTATGGCATGTTGAAGAGTGAGAAAATCAGCACAAGCTGTGACTTCTATACGGCTTCTATTTTGAATTTTACAACAATGACCATCTTCACTCTGCCCACGAGATGACATTTTGGTGCCAATTATATGTTCCTAGTGTCGTAGGCTTCCAACACAGAAAATCTCAAACTGTCGCTCACCCGTTTCCCGTGAAGATGCATTCATGTCACAGACATTTATTGCACATCATAAGATGTCGAAGACTGACTTGTTTTAAAAGACACAAGCTAAGAGTCTGAACGGAAATTTCGCCCGAAACTTAGGAGTTTATATTGGTAGTTTAGGAACTGATAAATATGTAAGTATATGTCGACAAGGAAGCGACAAAACATACACACGCATGCAGTTGTTGAATTTTTGAATTTGTTTCCGATAAAATGGTGCTTGTTCAAAGAACTTTGTTAGTAATAAGTAGGGGTGATTATGTGGGATAGTATTTGTGTATGGATTTGTACGGATAATTTCATTTTACTGGTGCACGTAAATATATAAGCTTTTCAATAGTTACGGTATTTTAGCTGAATATAACATACTTCTTTACTAAGTGGTTAAATAATACAGTATCACATATTCATGCGATTTGACTGAGCGTGTCTTTTCGAATTTGTAAATTGTAATCTCTCTCTCTCTCTCTCTCTCTCTCTCTCTCTCTCTCTCTCTCTCTCTCTCTCTCTCTCTCTCTCTCTCTCTCTCTCTCTCTCTCTCTCTCTCTGGCCGATGATAAAGATATAATTGTTTGTTTTCATTAATATGAATAGTTTGTACTTTATATTCTGAATAAATTAATACTTTAGATTATATATCGACTTTACATCTAAGATTTTTTTATTCAGTTTTCCGGGGCTTTTTTTAGACTTGAAAGAACACTTGCACCCTATCGGATAACTGCTGAAGGTTCTGGGACTTAGCTGTACTTTAGAGTCCACAGTGTTGAAGTTAGAGTACGGGTTGT